AGAATTTCATGTTTTTTTTAGACCTGCAATTTTTTGTATTTTTATCTCCAGAAATATAACTTAGAGCCGTGAAAGTCAGTGAGGATCCAAACAGAACCACTTCAAGCAGATCAGAATCACTGAGCAGCTCCAGCAGAGGCCAGATTTTTAACTGTTAGATGTTTTTTTTTTAATACAAAAATTCTGAAACACGAAATTTCCTAAAATTCTGCCAAAAATATTTTGCAGAACTGAACCCAAAATCCAAGACAACATAACTCCTGAACCGACCCACTAACAAGCTACACAAGTCCACCAAAAGAACATCTACTGTGTCCTAAAACCTAGCAGGGTTAAGTTCTCAGGATGTTCTACTACGTCCGGTTTGCTGTTTGCGAGCCAGGAGGCGTTTCTGGCCCGTCCTGATGTCTGGCATGAGTATAAACAAGCTTGAAGGAGACGAATGAAAGCTCATTTTACAAGTTTAAAGTGTGACGTTACGACATATCGGATGCAAACTACGTAAAACAGTGCACGTGTGGAACGTTCTGCAGGTGTCCACCAACAAGACGCATTTTCTCTCATTTCAATCTTTTGTTTCAGGAGTCCTCCGCCGCCATAAAAAATACTTTATGACCCGTATTTTGTTGTTTTTTTTCACGGCCGTATATTTTACACACTTACTGGAACGCATTTGAGCAGATGGTGCCAGAGTTGTGTAAAAAAAACCAGAGAGATCATTTAGCCGTGCGATAACCCTGCAGCCGCCATTAATCCGCTCTTCACATCCTCCTCTCATCTGCTTTCTCCCCTCGTCACACAGAGAAAGAGAGAGAGGGAGAGAGGGAGAGAGGGAGCGTCGTAAAGCTGGATGGTAATAAGGAGGATGGATACTCGGGGCCGACGCTCACTCACACCAGCTCCAGGACTCAATTACACCTGCGTGTCTGGTGGGAGTGTACAGATGTGGAGAGAAAGCCATTCATCCAGGGATCCCCAGGGCCAGCGGGCAGCGGGAGGGGAAGGCATTCACCTGGGACCGGCACACATTACATGCATGACGGATGTGAGACGCCCACACACACACTCACACACACACACTCTCACACACACACTCACACACACACAGCGAGCTCTCCCAGGATCAATCAGACATTCAGCGATGATGGGAGGCCATCTGTCGCCGAGCTCGGCTGGAGGCTTGTTTGGCAGGTGAAGCCAGAAAAAGCAATGGCATTGTTTTCATGCAAGAAATTAAAAAACCTCCCTTCTGTACAGTGATGGAGATGAGGGGGGCTGGAAGAGGAGGCGAGGCGGCGGCGGCGTGGAGGGGGAAGAGAGAGAGACGGAGGGTGAATAAATAAATCAGCAATAAATCATTTCCTTTTTGCATTTGTCAACTAAAAAGAGTCCTCTTTGCATGCCAAGTTATTGAAACAGCCAAACAAAGAGGCAGAAACAGCAGATGAATTTGCAGGGTGAGGAATGATCAGCGGCGCTTTATGATGGTGAATAATGGCAGCCGTTTTGATGCTCTGATCCCATTAAGAGGCCAGATGTTTAAAAGTATTCTCATGAATAGGGTTCAGATAATGAGCACGCGCTGAAGGTTCTCTGCAGAAAGCGAAGCTGACGCACGAGGAACAATGACAACCGAAGGGGAATAAAGTAGACGTTTGTGCGACTGGCATCAAGTCGGATGGAAAAAANGAGTTTTTAACCACAGAAACATGAAAAGCAGCAGGAGGAGGAGTGTTTGGTTCATCTAATGGACGTTCAGTGTGTTTAAAGCCTGAATGGGAATCAGCTGTTTGAGCAAAAACTGCAAAAACATGATGCTTCCAGCTCAACTAATGTCACTTTTCCTTGTCTTTTTGATGATAAAAGCTGTTTTAAGACTTTTCATTAGACTCCCAGATCTTAAAAAAGGCATTTTTCTCATATTTCTTTGCTTTACAGACAAAATAACGTCAAATAAATCAATACTGGAAGAAACTGTGAGCCCTCGCATGCACATGTGCAAAGTCTTTTTTTACAGAAACGTGTGTTTGGTTCATCCCAGTGAGGTTTCCCAGTGATCAGCGTGTTTAGAGCCTGAGTGGGAGGCAGCCACGCTCCAGTCCCCCCATGGGAACCAGCATGAAGAGGGTCAACAACACCCACGAGGGTCTTTGTGCTTCTGCTCCAGTCAATGGCGTCCACTCGGCGTGTTTACGCGAGTGCATTTAGCAGAACCATTAATTAGGGAAATCTGCAGATGTAGAACGTCCTGGATGCTAGAAGGAGCAAAACAAGGAAGCTGAACGCTGCAACACAACAGCTCAGATCTACGGGTTCTGTTGTCTAATCCTCCATCTAGTGGTGACCTGCTGCAGCTGCATCAAGTTCATCGCTTCTGATTTCTACCAGCTTTCAGTGAAGAAGGAAGATTCTGATCACAGCGGTTCAAAAAAACCCTCAAAGATAAAGTAAACGGAGGGAAAGCTCAATAAAAAAGCTTATTGTGCTTATTGAAGTCTGATGGAAACGCTTCATAAAAATGTTGTTTTTTTCCCAGATCTTTGTCTTGCAGGTTTTTTAAATTAATTTGGATATTTTTTGTTTTTAAATCTGTGGATTCTGATAAAGCTACAATGAAGCTTTTCTCTCTCGATGCTCCACCAGCGTCTTTCTGATCGTGTGTAGGAAGTGTTTTCTTGTCTCTACCTTGGTCAGGACGGAGACGAACTTCTTCAGAGACGTCAGAGCTTCTCCTCTGATGACGGGATGAGCAGCCAGCTCCACCCTGAGGGCGTAGTGCAGCGTCGACTCCAGGTCCGCCATGTACACTCTGGACCTGAGCGCAACACGACAAGTGTTAAAAACAAACAAAAAAACGATGAAGGCAGCTCTGTGAGGAGCGTTTGGTGCTCGTACTTGTTGAACGGCCTCCACGGCTCCTCGGTGGTGTTGATGCGGAAGAAGGTGGCGAACGACGGAGGCCTCCCGGACCGCACCACCCCCGGCAGCCTCTGGAGGGCGTACGAGTAGAAAGTGCGAGCCTCGATGTTGCTGTGGGGGAGAAGAAGGAACGGATTTCTATCGAGCACATTCATTCATTCAGTCGACCTTAATTTAAACTTAGACTCTAACTGTGATCACGCTGAGGTTTGAAGGCCTCGAACGCAACGTAGCCGAGTGAGAAAAGAAAATAACTAAAATATTAAAAAGGCATTAATTAGAGCATTTGATTTAAAATAATACAAAGATTTAACTAAAATAAGAGCAGCTGGAAGTAAAACAAGTGGCTGTAGTTTGTTCTGCAGGTTGCAGCTGCACAGTGGGTCCGACTGGATTTAACAAAATCAGCATAAACTGCAGCATAATCCAGATGTTTGAGCCTTTATAACAACGAGCCACATTAAAAGACAGCCATCATATAACATATGGAGGTAAAAGCAGCCTCATATTTATATTTATATATCAAATTAATAAAACTAGGTGTTTGTCTTTCCTGTATAGAAATACTTTTGTGCACTCTCGGGTTTGGTTTTTTTTGCGGGTCTTTTTCAGTTTCAGTCTAACACCTGTGCACACATCGGTTGGAGGCGGTTTGCATAATCTGACGTGGAAGAACTTTTCTGGTCCTGATTTTAACCCCAGACGTCTGCAGCTGCTACAGAGGAGAGCTGAACTCTAACATCAGAACCAGAGTCAGTTCAGAAAGCAGCAGCGGTGGTGTAAACTGTGTCACATTTCAAGTTCAGATTTAAGTTCTGTAAAATATTCTGGCTTAAATTTGAGAATTTCATGTTTTTTTTAGACCTGCAATTTTTTGTATTTTTATCTCCAGAAATATAACTTAGAGCCGTGAAAGTCAGTGAGGATCCAAACAGAACCACTTCAAGCAGATCAGAATCACTGAGCAGCTCCAGCAGAGGCCAGATTTTTAACTGTTAGATGTTTTTTTTTTAATACAAAAATTCTGAAACACGAAATTTCCTAAAATTCTGCCAAAAATATTTTGCAGAACTGAACCCAAAATCCAAGACAACATAACTCCTGAACCGACCCACTAACAAGCTACACAAGTCCACCAAAAGAACATCTACTGTGTCCTAAAACCTAGCAGGGTTAAGTTCTCAGGATGTTCTACTACGTCCGGTTTGCTGTTTGCGAGCCAGGAGGCGTTTCTGGCCCGTCCTGATGTCTGGCATGAGTATAAACAAGCTTGAAGGAGACGAATGAAAGCTCATTTTACAAGTTTAAAGTGTGACGTTACGACATATCGGATGCAAACTACGTAAAACAGTGCACGTGTGGAACGTTCTGCAGGTGTCCACCAACAAGACGCATTTTCTCTCATTTCAATCTTTTGTTTCAGGAGTCCTCCGCCGCCATAAAAAATACTTTATGACCCGTATTTTGTTGTTTTTTTTCACGGCCGTATATTTTACACACTTACTGGAACGCATTTGAGCAGATGGTGCCAGAGTTGTGTAAAAAAAACCAGAGAGATCATTTAGCCGTGCGATAACCCTGCAGCCGCCATTAATCCGCTCTTCACATCCTCCTCTCATCTGCTTTCTCCCCTCGTCACACAGAGAAAGAGAGAGAGGGAGAGAGGGAGAGAGGGAGCGTCGTAAAGCTGGATGGTAATAAGGAGGATGGATACTCGGGGCCGACGCTCACTCACACCAGCTCCAGGACTCAATTACACCTGCGTGTCTGGTGGGAGTGTACAGATGTGGAGAGAAAGCCATTCATCCAGGGATCCCCAGGGCCAGCGGGCAGCGGGAGGGGAAGGCATTCACCTGGGACCGGCACACATTACATGCATGACGGATGTGAGACGCCCACACACACACTCACACACACACAC